AAATAAAATCTTTCTGTCTTATATAGTCTTTAAAACCCCATTACTTTTACAAAGGCACAGTCTTTCTTCCTCAGTAAATTTCTCACTGCACTTAAATTTAATATTTTGCCCCACAAATTATTGGTTTGGGCCGTTTAGGGTCCCTATTTATACCTGATTTAGAACAGTAGTTGACCTCACACTTGCTCTTTTGATCCCTATTTTTGTTTTTCTTTCATTGATGTTCGTTCCTTTTTTTCCAAACTATCTTCATCAGTTTCTTGTTCGACTTCTTCTTTAACATCGTTCTTCCTTTTATCGTTAACCGCATTTTAATTTTTTTGTATCATCAAATTCCTTCGCAGAGAAGCGAGACTTTTATTCTCACTATCCTCTTCACCAATGGCCAGGGTCAAAACGGATTCAGGGGACCCCAAAACGTAAAAATCCGTAGATATCTGGGGGTCGAAAAAAAATCATGATTTCTATACTTTTCTTATCTGTATACAGTACCGATAGGAAAGTAAAAAGTTTGCCCATGGTTGTATCCACTAGCAGTTGTACGATAGTTCCTGTGACAGGATGGCTATGGATCCCTATAAAAGTCACATTGATTGATTTTATTTACCAAATAGACGTTTTGCAGGGTATTTTAGTTTCTTATACATACATTTTAATTTTAATGATGGCAAAGCGTTAGACAATAAATTTTCATTTGCCTGGATTCAGTCTTCACACACGGTGAAATATTTTATTTTCAAATCTCCATTTTTTTAAAAACTGTGGATTTCTAATTCGTTGGAGTCATATGTCTCTAACAACTTTATTGCTAGGAATATGATATCTAAAAATACATTAATATGTACAAACTAAAAGTAGCAATAGTTAAAAAATAGTTCAATAACTTATACATCAGAATTCGGAAAAAAAAATTATACATGAATCTACTAAAAAGTATCCATTTCATATTGTATAATTCTAAAAAAATTACCAATAACACAATGTATTTCAATCTTTTTAATATTCACATATTTTATCTACCTACTCTTGGCAGAATTGTACAGAAAATGATAAAAGTTAGATTAAAAAGACTCTCAATTTTTCTTAGAAAACATTCGGTTACCCGTATTTTTTTTGGGGAATTTATTCTACAAATTGGGTACTTTTTAGTGTTAATATATGCTCTTAAAATGTGGTAATATATTTAAGAATAAAATACAAACATAAGTTTTTACTTGTAAAGAAATAAAATTGTAAATGTATTCCTTACCTTCGACTAACTTTGCAATATAATTTTATGTATTCAAATCTCTAAAAACTCTTTTCAAAGCACTAAACAAATAAAACAATTAGAGCTAATATCGCAAAAAATGGAGCAATGGCTGTTGACAGTGTTAAATAGCAGTTTGCGTACGCTTGCGTTACTCTAAACGTGCTCTGAACGTTCTCTGAACTTTTATTTGAGCTTTTATTGCAAGTGTCAAAAAATTAAACGTATGTTTAATACGTGTCTTTAACAGCAAAAATATGTCTAATTACACCTGATTTTTTTATCAACATTATTTAGTTGTAAACAAAATACATTTTTAGTACCTTTGATGAATCTTTTTTGGTTGGTTCTGGTACATCTGAGTCCCATTCTGAGCTTAAATCATCGCTGGAAGGGTCACCATAATCCACACAAATGGGCACTTCCAACAAACTCTTCTGGTACTGCTCATATCCCGTCGCTGACCCCCTCCTGGATCCCGAATTGGGACTGGATGGACTAGTGCTCCTTCGATGGTTGGTGCCTCTTCTACTAAGTCGCGGCGAGGTGTCGGAGGTGGGAGAGGGTGTTCTTGAAGGAGAACGAGTTGGGTAAAGTGTGTTTTCTGAAAGTTTTCAACAAACTTTGGTTTTATATTTTACAGGGCGTTAAACAAACGTTAGCATAAAATGTATTTTTGTAAATACAATACAGAATTACACTGTCTCAACTATTATTTATTAAGAAATTAAAATATAGTAAACGCGTATTTTAGCTATAAAATCTATAACTTCTCAATATAAGTAAATCTAATTTAACAACATTGAAGGTACCTTAGCGGTTATAGAGCATCTTCGGCTGTTGACAGCTTATCCAATGATAAGTGACAGAGCCTTTTTTTACATAAAATTTAGATCTGAGTGATGTTTTCAGGAATTATTTTTAAAATAGGTCAAGAGTACAAAAAACAATATTGTTTTACTGCATAATATTTAAATAAGTCATATTTAATAAATATTTTTTCTACTAGCGTGCGGAAAAGTCGACTTTTCCGCACTCATTTTAGTGTTGAAAGAGTCACTTTTATGCACTAGTGCGAAAAAAAAAATTTCGGCACTAGTAAAGGACCACGCACTTTTCTTATGCAAACGGGAGTATTGTCTGAATTTTTGATATGTTAAATAACTTGATGTCCTCATCAAAAGTGTCCATGGGCACAATCGTATCCTATGACTGGATTTTGAGATACAGGGTGTTGAAGTTAGAAATCCCTAATTCTTTAAAATGGACACCATAAATCACTCTTAAATATTTTTGGAAGTTTTTTTTTTTGCTCATTCTGTGTAGTCAAAATACATACTAATATAATTAAAATATTGTACCTTACAGGGTGAATAATAATTCGGCAAATCTTTTTTGGTCAAAGTAGGTATTCCCACCGAACAAAAATAGCTAAAATACCGAAAAAAAAAAAAAATATCACCGTCAAAGTCTCTTAATATTTGATATCGTATAGTACTCGATGTACTCGTTCAAAATTCTTGCTGGTAAAATTAGATCCTATGACCAGTTTGTGTACCAAATATATGAATTTTAAACAATTAATATACTGACAAAATAGATATTTTCAAGAGAAATATCTTATAATAAATATTTTGATATACTGTTTTAGAAAAAGAATATACCCCTTGTACTATTTTCAAAGAGACAAAAAAATCATACTTACAAGGTGATTGCGGTTGAATATGTAAAAGGAAAAAATCAACAAAATGCTGAAATTGTTGGCAAAAAATAAAAAATAATTGCCTTTTAACTTGCGAGTAGTTTATTTAAAAAATCTTATTAGTTTACATACAGGGTCATACATTATTGCATTACAAAAAAAAGTTCATTATACGGTAGGTATAAGTAGGATCTAGGGAAATGAATAATGATCGAATTAAATGTTTATTTTGACTGGAGCATTGTCTCTTTATATTGTATATTTATATCAGATTGGGATCTCCTTTCCGCGTAAAGTGTTAGCCCCTGTAGGAATAGTGCACTGCTTGTATAATATGACAGGTCAAAAATTACCAAAAAAACATTAATTTATGCTAATGTGAAAAAATTGTGTTTTATGTGGTTTACAAGAATTAATGCTTTTAAAATGTTTAAATTATCCCCTAATATACAAAATTATTTATTGTTTAAAAATAACTGTGCTGCTGCTAGAAAATTTCTTAAATCAAAAAGGAAAAATAACTTTAAAAATTTTTGTGGTATATTAAATAGAAATTCTTCCATCAAAAGTATTTGGGATAACATTAAAAAAATATTAGGTCTTAAATCCAACTTATCTAATTCATTACCGTTGACTAATGTTTCTAAAGAAATTTTAAATTCCCTCTATCCACCTTCTCTAATTCCTAATATTGATATTAGAGATCCAGTAATCTATGGACCTCTTTTCACTCAAAATGAATACAATAATGTCCTAATTGGTAAATCAGATTCTGCTGCTTGTCTTGATCAGATCTCATACTCTATAATTTAAAATTTACCCCCAATAGGATCTCAAATTTTATTAGAGATATTTAACAAATGTTTAAGCTATGGTGTAATCCCTAATCAATGGAAGCAAACTCTTATATTCCCCATTATAAAACCAAATAAGGATAAGACAACAGCTTCAAGCTATAGACCTATAGCTCTTAGTTCTTGTATGGAAAAAACTCTAAAATCTTTAATTAAAAATAAATTAGACTGGTTCATTGAAAATAAAAAAATACTAAACCCCTTACAACTAGGATTTAGAAAAGGTCGAAGTTGTACTGAATGTACTCCCTGCTAGCATCCCAAATTCAAATCGATTTCTCAAAAAATTAATATATAGCAGGTGTTTTCCTAGATATCTCATATGCATATGATAATGTAAATATAAATCTCCTTTACTCTATTCTACTAAAAGTTGGTATCCCTGGGGATCTAGCTTACTTAATTTATGCCTTCTTGAGTTACAGATCCATGTTTATAAAAGATAATTCTGGCCAGATTCATGGTCCAAATACAAAAAATCAGAGGCTTCCTCAAGGATCCCCTATTAGTCCTATCTTATTTAATTTGTATACTGTCTCTATATTTAATTTACTTTCAAAAAAAAATTAAAATGATCCAATATACTGATGATTTTGTCATTTTGGTTAGTGGAGGTAACGCAATTATTATAGTCCACCAAATAAACCACTTTTTAATTAAATTGGAACTTTGGCTGGAATCTCATAACTTTAATATTCCTATTAATAAATCAAAGTCAATATTTTTTACAAAAGGTCATTCTAGAATTGCCCTTCCCAATGTCACCTTTAAATCTCAATTTATTCAATGGAAAATAGACAAACTTAATTATCTTGGTTTTTTTTTTATTATTTAAAATGGAATGCCCCTATTGATAATTTACAGAATAAAATAGGGAAATGTTTTAATGTTATGCGTGCCATATGTAGTATATGGTGGTGGTGTGACCCAAAAATTTTAAAAATATTACATGACTCTCTTGTGCTAAGCCACCTAGACTATGGATGTCAAATTTTATACCTGTGCCCACAAATATTAAAGAAAAAATGGATCGACTTTAATTCCAAAGTTTACGCATAATCTCAGGGTGCATGAAATCCGCCCCAAATCAAGCCTTATTATCAAAATCATCAGAGATTTCCTTGAAATATAGAAGGGAATATCTTTCATCAAAGTTTCTTCTAAAAAAATTAAGGAAAAAATAATAATCCCATCATTACGTTTATTTATTGCCTAAATCAACTATGTGATGACAATAATAGATATTGGAGAAACCGCGAAATTCGTATTCTGGTTGAAACGATTAAAAAAATTAATTCTTACTCCTTTAACCTATTTTTTAGTGATTTTCTTCCTTGTCACAAATTTTATCTTAATCTTCAATTGGTTTCCCTAAAAATCTACAACATAAACAATTCAAAAGATAATTTTAACCTTGCTGATTTCCAATACATTTTAAATAAATTCCCAAAGTATACCAAATTCTTTACTGATGGATCTACGGACCCATGAGGAGAGGCTGGTTTTGGAGTCTTTTCTCCTGATCTTTTTTATGCCTTTTCTTTTAAACTACCTTTTCAAACACAAATTTGTTCGGCAGAAATTGCTGCTATTAATCAGGCCATAATGGTCATACTAAAGGAGAACATTTATCACTCTATTATTTTTTCAGACTCTGAGAGTGCCTTCCAAAAAATTAGTAGATCCCTTTTTCAAAAGAAACAAAACACTGCTCCTTTCCAACAGAAAGAGCTATTTTATTAGCTAAGAATAATTATGTTCATATTATGTGTAGCTAAAAATTATGATTCTAAGGGCTAGTCTTTTCACCTCTGAGTAAAATTGAAAGTAACTACTTACTGATTAAACTATAGGGCTATTGTGTTAATCTATCAAGTAAACCTATATGTAACTTTACTCAGAGGTAAAAAGATCAGCCCTAAAATTAAAATAATTTTATATTTTTTAGGTGTTTTTATTCTGTTAATGTAAAAAGTTTATCAAAACGCATTGGTTGTTCATTGACAGTTGTCATTTTATAAAGTGTTGATCCATTATCCGTGTTCATATCTTTTCATTGTATCAAAAAATTTCCACTGTAATGTCATATAGTGCACCCCCGTAAAAAAAAAAACAAGCTGTCATGACAACTTTAAGCAATGTTTGCATTTTATTGGTTGAACATTGGTGGCGTACGATTTTCCCAAAAACTCTATAAAAAAATATAGGTTAATGGGTAGCATTAAGATGTTTGCCTCTATTAAGAACAAAGCAAAATTAAAAACTTGTAGAGAAGGTATTTATTTCGTCTAAATAAAATAGCGAAAAGAAAAGTTTTCTACAATAAAGAAGTATATTTAGATAAATAATAATAAATACTAAAACGTATATATAACTGCATTTGAATTTAAATACCAGCACTTCGGAAATAGCTACAATACATACCCAAGTGGTTATGTATGTAGTGCGCGGTGATCGGTGCCTCCATCTACGAACGTGCGACGGAACCCGCCTCGACTGAATTAGGTCTGCAATCATTTCAAACACCACTCATCAGTGGCGTTTGAAATGATTGGTCTGCTGCAAACTATAATTTTTACAATGTACGGTGACATTTAAAAGAATTAATACGTATATCGTCACTGGAAAGGTAAAAAGTCTTAAACGACACTTTGGTAGGTTTTCAGGGGAACGTCTTAAACATTAAAATTTGGGGAAAAAAAATCATATTGAATTGCCTAGTAAATTATTATTAGGTTTGAAATGACTATCAGATGTATTGATTTTTTTAGAAAATTGTTATGGGAACGATTTTCTTCAAAAATAAATAACTCAATGGATAATTGGCGCTCAAGTCAAACTGTACTCTTACGTTCCTGAAATATTGAAAAGTAAAATGACTAATACGATAAAAACAGTTTTGTCAGTATAAAGCACAGTCGTTTAAAGGATGATACAATTTTATTATGAGTGGGGTAATGAAGCAACTTAGTGTTTTAACTCTTTTACAAGTATCAAGAGTGAAGCAAACAAACAAATTTGACAACAAAAATACTTTATAGTGCCTTA